ACAGAGCATGAATTATGCCAAGCGTTATCACTTAGGTTCAGATACTTGCACTGCACTGCGCTATAAAACGCCGCGGTGATACGCTGCGTGCGACAAATGCTTTGCGGTGGCAAACGTAAAAAAAAGATGAATGATTACCATTCTTTCAGATAAGAAAAGAATATTTTCATGAATATATAATAAAGAAGATATAAGCTGCAAGGACATAAGCTTTGTTAATGCGCCGCATTACGTGACCTGTATGTTATAATTAATTGACCGCGGAACTTGTTAAATGATACGAAAAGTAAATTTGCCTAAGTGTGGAAGTTGAGACGTTTACCACAGAAACACATAAGACATTGTGCTCGTGTTTCGCAACGTAATTCTATTAAAATAAGCAAGAGAGAAAGACGCAGCTAAATCTTATTAATTTTTTAGACAACCCTTCAACAATCTTAAACTTTAATATTTTTTGCAATTATGTATAAATAGCTATTTTTATTTCGGAATATAATTTCGAACTTAAACAACAAGTAATTAAATTTTTCTGCAGATGTGAGAGAATTTCTCTCTCTCTCTCTCTCTCTCTCTCTCTCTCTCTCTCTCTCTCCCTCCCCCGACAATTGTACACTTAACTTATGTTGACAAAAATTAATTATTAATCTTTCTCGTTGCCAAATTTATAAATTACATCAAAAGTTAGTATTAAAAAGATATTATATGATTTACGATTATTTCAGTTAATCTTTATATTATCAAAAATAATAGGGGAAAGCAAAAAGTCACATTTTCCTTTCTGCTTAAAACGTTTTGAATAATTGAAACGATAAAGAAACGATATCTGTACCTCTCGTTACTTGTTATGACAGGATGTTGCATAGAAAGGACGAGGATATATACATGATATCGCTATTGCTTGATACGCTTATTGCGGAATCGAGTGTTTTTATGTGTAGTGCAGCAATATTATAAACGAGGCGAACGTTTTACCGTATCAGTAAAACTCAGCGTTTATAGCATTTCTAGAGAATACCTTCTTGATATAAATTTTAATACTTGAGAAATTGTTCACATTTTTCTCAAGATAAATTTCATATAAACTAGCATTCTTCTGTAAATACAGAATTTGTTACGATAGGATTAATTGTAAGTAAGCGATTAATTTAAAAAATTAATCACTATAAATAAAAAATTTAATTTTATCTTTCAAGTTAATAAATTGAATTGTTTTTAGGCTCGTAGCCCTTTGTCTTTCTGTTTGTTTAATAAATTGAATTTTAGCTTTCACCATCCTATCTATCAACCAGATACGTGGGTCTTAATCTCATTCTTAAAAAAAAAATTTCAGAAAGAATAAATGTTGACTTTTCAACGCATTGGTTGTTTATTTGATTAAATTAATTTAATTATCTTTATTCTTTTCGTTGGAAAATGTATGTATTTAAGTTAAAATATAAAATGTTCTTAAATACATATTTTCTTTATTGAAAGATAAACTAAATTAATTTAATCGAATGAACAATTTTTTTCTCAATATATATATATATATATATATGTATATATAAATAGCTAATAGAAAGATAAGACTAGTATCATTTACTCACGAATTTATCCTATAAAAGAAGTGGAAAATTATGTTACAGGATTTGCAAGGAACTCTTCTATCATGTCAAATCCTTAAGACACAACGAAATGTCTGTATTTATTTCTACAATTGAACTCTCTGGAGTTGACAATGAGTTTATTGTAGAATCACTCAATTATAAATCTCCTTATCAGAAATGTCAAATACTTCAATTTTCTTTACGATATATAGTTCTAAATTTCTTATTAAAAAATTTAGACTGCTCCACCAATTCAGTGCAGAAACTCTATAGCGCACATAACGTAAACTACACATTTTCAGTGCCAGCAATGAATTTTGGAATATAACTTTAACATTCATTTTTTAATACAAATTGTCGTTGAAATTAATTGATGTCTTTTAAATTTTCATTAACATAAATTAAATGGGTTTTACAGATCCAGCCTTAGTAATTATTTGGCGTCAACTCCGAAAAGGTTAATATACGAGCTCGACAGAGAAAGCTGCGAAAACCAGATAAAAGGCAACAATACTTACATTTTTGTATCCTCACCGACAATATCTCACTGATACTTCAGTTGGAAAGTTGATTCAATACTCTATTGATCTTTGTTGCGTCCCGAAGATGAGAGATACACAAAACGCTCGTGATACTTCTGGCACATAACCTCGCAACGCCGCAAATCCGCAAAACTGCGCCTCGTCCAGTCTTATCACTGCAAAAACATAAAAGACGCGATTTCACGTACACGACCAATCACGGATCGACGCAGATTACGATGAAATAACGTTTGATAAATTACATACAGCGTAAAAAAATCTCAATCAGCACAACACTTAAAATATCAACTCAATCAGCTGTTCCCAACTGTTCCGGCAGCTGATCGCACTCGGTACGTTGGCACCATCTACTGAGAAATGCCTGACACATTGGTTTATACATTTAGATCCAGTGGAACTAAGGGCAAGACTAATCATATTAAAGAATTTTACAACAATTGCAAAGTTGCTTTTTCTGCTGAACGCAGCCATTATTGCGATATCTTGAAAATGCTGAAAATTGAAAAATATATTCGCAAATATAATTAGTGTCAGGCATTTCTCGGTAGATGGTGCCAACTTACCGAATGATCAGCCGCTGGAACAGCTGGGATCAGCTGATTGAGCTATATTTTAAGTGTTACGCTGATTGAGATTTTTTTACGCTGTATGTAATTTATCAAATGTCGTTTTGTCGTAATCTATGTCGATCCGTGATTGGTCCATTCTGTTCATCTACAGGAATTAAATATTATAACGCTTAAATGATATTATAAATTATTTTTTATAATTATAGTGATCGCGTAGCATCAACAGGGATCTCGATAATAATTGAAAAATTGTAATTAATAGAAGTTTTTAAGAAACATTGTCATTGATATTATAGATAATAAAAATATATAATTCTGTTCTCTGTAATATATAATGAGATCAAATATATAAAAACTAAGTATATTACAAAGTAAAATGATATTAGTCAATAATTAATCAAGAAAATTAATAGTTGTAATATTCTTATTTCAATTCTCCCTATAAACAATATTCTTATTAGAAACATATATAAGGCTATTCTTTTAGAAACATATATAAGGCTATGAGATGTATACATATAAATAATAAATTTTCTTTTTATTATTTTACATTATGGTATCGATAAATTTATATTAATGAATTTTTTATTATAAACATAGTTAGATCTTTGGCATAACTTGATATTTATGATTTATTTATTCATCGCGCAAATACTCATTTTGATAATTTAAGACATTCATAAACCTTATTGCATCTAATTTGCATAGAGAGGTCCATCATAAACGATGTAATGTGGGTTTCTTTATCCTTTTGTTTCCCGTTTTCAAATGCAATCACGAGAGTCATTGTGGGATCAGTGTTGTGGAAAGAATATGTACACGAATCCTGTAGGAATATTAATTTATATGAAGTAATTCTTCAAATTATTTCAGTTGTTTGTCATTTATTTGGATTATTTATATTTTTTCGTTTCTATTTTTATTTATAATTATTAATATGTTTAAAATTATTTTTAATGAGCATACCTTCATACTTTTATGGCAAATTACTTTGTCCATAGTAAGAAGTTCGGCGTGTCGTTCCTTTATCTTAGTCTGGATATTATCCAAGTGTACTGATGGTTTCTGCGTGAATGTCTGAAAGACATTAATTTTATAAAAAAGCATAGGATGTTATGTACATTTATTTGTACCATTTATTTGTACAGACCATTGTACTATTTATTTATAGATATTAATATATGTACTTATATTAATAAAACCTATTTAAAAAATTCATTTATATTTACACTAGGACAACAAACAACAACGGGAAAACTCTCAAAAGAGTTTGCTCCTCTTCCTGGATGTCTATATCCAGAACCTGAATTTTCAGTTTCTCTGGAGTCGAAGATTATCAATACCGCTAGTATATCGTATTTTCGTTGAAAACTCTGTATCCTAAAATAGTATTTGTCAGTGCATATTATATACGAGTAACTTAACGTTGTATATGTGTATCTTACTTATGATAGTAATCTATACTCTGCTTGCTCATAATACTCCTCATTTCCCCTGGACTAGCTTGTTGGCTTAAAGTAGTGTGGAAATACAGAGAACACTTAGCTAATATGGCACTACGGAGCTTCATCAGCCATTGGTACAGCGCTGGTTGTTGATTTGCCTTGAGAAATGTCGCACCAAAACCCAATTTCCAAGACTAAAAAAAATCTTGAGTTAGAATATTTGATAAGAATTAAATTTAAAAAAGTCTCGAATTAAAATATTACTTTTATGCCCTTTTTTATTTATATATTGCTAACCTCCTTGCTCTGCAGAGTTCTTTCCCAAGCTGACATTCGCGTTTGCGCTCCGTAGAGTGCCATCAGAGTTGGTAAAAATCTCCAATTTTGAACTTCCACTTGTGCTTTCATTAATTGTACTAGTATTTCACATTCTAATCTGAACAATGAGGATTATTAGCTTCTCACATACATTAAAATTTATAATTCGTATTATTAAAATTACATATTACTAATATTATAAAACGATACATACGTTAAACTTGTTTTGATAGCAGTTAATGCCAAATGAGAACAGGATAACAAATAACATTTTACTATTCCTTCTATATACTGCAGCAATTCTTGATGCTTCATAACTTTGCTATTTACACTCATATTGTACATTTTTTCGTAGCTGTAATGCAATAATCACAAATATGACATTAGACAACAGAAGGCTGAAATACTAGTATACTAACAAATCTATCAGCTGGATTCTTGCCGTGATGAACTGACAGAGCTGACTGGAAACATTTGCGACTGCCGTACCAATGGAATTTGTTCCCTTAGTCATTTCCTCTAATCTTTTCAAATCAGACTTCAGTGATTCATAGACAGTCTTTAAAGAATTCTGTAAATAATAGTAAATAAATAATCATTGACTGAAGTGCTTTCTTTGTTGTTAAATACGTACATCCTTCCTAAGAAAACCTTTATTTTTAGTATTGAGGAAACCTAAATCCGCATATGAACGCTCTGCAACAGCTATCTGTGGTAAATGCAACAGCAGCATTCCCCATGGACCCATTTGCATCTGCTTACATGATTCCCTTTCTTTCTCCTGAATTAAATTTATATTTTTTTCAGACAGGAATGTACAACTGCATTTATATGTACTTACATTAATACACATATAACAGGATTTGATTCACTTACAACTGTTTCCTTAGCCTTATCGGAGCATAATTGAGCGACCTGTGTGAAGAAGGCATTAAGGAATTCATCCTCGTGATCCATCCTCTATTTTTGTTTGCAACATATGCGAATAAATGGACCATGCGACTATCAATGCTGTCATACTGATGAGGTTATGTATAATGTTATGCATGGATACTTTCCATTTACATATACCTACATAAGTCCTGCATGAAGAAATCATGCAATCGATCAAAAGTGATATTCCATCTATGATGTAAGAAAAAATAATTCTTATATCATGATTCTATTTGCTACTTTGTTAAATGTCAAGAAAGATAAAATTCTGTTTGTGTCGACTTATATGGCTGTAGTTAAAGTCTCGCTACAAATGCTTTGAAGCATTTGATGGATTAATTAGAAGAAAGAATTTTACAAACTGACCAATTAAAAAACGCTTCAAAGCGTTTGTAGCATCGCGTTGACCATACCCTATGTCATTAAAATAGAAAGCACTTTAAAAGGTTGACATTAGGATTGTTTTTTATTGTCCTTTCTGAACTGGTATCAGAGAAACCTGAAAGAGGCCATGCCGGCCTTTTTCCTATTACCGACGAAATCGTCTGTACACTACCGCCAGTACATCTATTTTCAGTTTGGGAACTATGTGACTACATACATTTTCTGACACTATCGATAAAATCGTATCGTCGAAAGTAGACGTTTGTTTCTGTAATACATCCTCAGGACAGAAGCGACTATCCAGTATTCACAGGAAAGATAGTTGAATGGATCCTTGAACGAAAAAATTTTAATTTCGTATTTGCTACATATAAATAAAAGTTGTTGAATAAACGAAACTGAAAATTCAAACAATTGTTAATTTAGTATTTTAATAAACGAAACTGAAAATTCAAACAATTATTAATTTAGTGAATTTTGTTTCATATATTTATCTTATATTATATTGTAATATCTTATAAAATTACTAAGTATCATTATGCAAATTTTCAGTCAGTATTTATCAAATATAATTGCTAATATAAGTTTCTACAATTACTAGCAATTATAATTCAATCTTTTTAAATTCAATCTTTTCTAAACATATATTGTCAATTTAAGATATAATTTAGCAAAAAACGAGCTATAGAGGCCCTCCACCACCTCCACCAATTTTATTGGCGGTCCTCTTTTCTTTGTAAGTATACTCACCCATAAAAAACAAATAAGCTACTAATAAATTTAGTAGCCCGCTTTTTGCAGGTAAGTGTACCTTTAATTTATCTTTAATTTATTTTTTTATTTTTATGTCTAATTATTTTATTGTATTTCGTTATGCTTTATTGCATAACTTTTTAAATATTATTCTTTATTGTATTATTCTTTATACAATTCGATATTATAATTATAATAATTATTTACAATACAATATACAATTATCAATGCTGTTCAAAATATAATAAAAATGATAACATAGGAGCATAATTAATAAATTTTTGTAATGTGGGATTATACAAAACGTCGAAAATACATATAATAACACAAATTTTTCTAACCAATGTTTAATGAAATATTGATAAACGCAGAAGAAATACTAACAACAAATAGATCGTATTTACTATTAATTATTTACTATTAATTATTTATTATTAATTTACGAATATAAAACTTAACAATAAAAAAAGTCATTAATATATTTATAACAGCACTTTCATCAAGTTCAAGATAATATCAAGATAATATCTCAATAATTTTATCATATCAAAATCCCTCCGCCTCGTGATATACTGATTAATACCCAATACAAAGAAGAACAATCTTCATACAGGAAAGCGAACTTAATATATTTTGATTCTACGTAAATTTTACAAGACTCATTTGCAAAGAAAAGTTAAGCAATCCGTCAAATACCAGTGATCCTGTTACAGGACTGCGGTGAATTTTTCAGACTACTTAGCGATAGTAATAATTTTGCATGTCAATTATAATTACCATTTTTATCACATCTTTAATATAATATTAAAATTCGCGAAAAAATATGTTCTGCCATACGTGATTAAAAATCATCTCTTATTAAAAATAAACGGATAAAATAATTTCCTTATGTAATAGTGATTACGAAGAAATATATTTAATAATAATAAAATACATGCGTTATTAATTTTTTATATGTATGGATACAAAAGTTTCTCGGGCACCAACTGTTCGAGATGAGCCGAATCCGATAATAACGGGATTTTAAAGAACATCCTGAAAAATTTATTATATAAAATTTAACAATTCTTTATTATTCAAAAATTACAATTATTAATATCCCGCTAATATGAAGGTACCTATTCGACTTATCTTGAATTTTTTGTACCCACACGTTTAAAATTCAACTCATGTAATCACGATAACATTATTAACTATAAAGAATTTTGAAAAAAGTTATGTAAATATCGACAAAAATCAATATTCGTTAAATATAACTTCAATATCTGTATATATTTTATCGTAGAAAAGTGCATGTATTTTATCATAGAAAAGTGTACATACATATTAATATTATAATTAAAAATATTCTGCAATGGCGGGATGTCCAATACCTAAAAATAATTCTAATAACAGTTAAAAAATTAAATATACACATCCGTAATCATATTTTTGTTAGAGCAATCATCAAAAAATTATAAGAAAATTATTTGTATAAAATTTATTTACTTAATAATTTGAATTTAAACAAATAATAATTATATATCCATATCATTCATACAATACTATAAATTGCTATTGTTATTAAGACGTAGTATTATTGCTAATTTTCATCATTATTATTACTAGTGGGAGAACATTTAATAAAACAAAAAAAGCGAAAATTATATGCTAAAATATACCACTTAATTAATGTTACAACTTGACTTTAAAATATATAATAATTATCATTGACTCATTAACAAAATTATTACCAGTAACTGCAGACGAAAAAATCCAGGATTAATTCCAATCCTGCATAAGAATTTCTGAAGAGACGTCAAATTAAACTTCGCGAATGAACTTCACGAAAAGCGATGAGGAATAATTCTTCATCATGAAAATAATTTTGACTTTCCATCGGTACAAACTACGTAATCACTGGTATCTATCTGACGTGAGAGACGGCGATATGAGGCTTTTGCATATAATAAATTGTTCACTAAAATATACTTATAATTTTATAACATTAAAAATGTAAATGTCAAAAAGCAAGTAAGAATTAATATTTAACATTGCCTCAGTCAAAGCTCCAATCTTTATGACTTATTTAAATTTATACTAAATACGAAGAAAAAAAATGACGATTATTTAACGGTTATTTAAATGACGGTTATTTAAATGACGATTTAAACAACAAATTTTTATTAAGAATAATAAAAATAATAAGAAGTTACTTAAAATTATTAATGACTTATTGATATGCAAAATAAAATCTAAATAAAAAAAGTTTTAAATTCCAGTAAATGTATAATTAATTAGTAACCCGTAAAACATTAGTAAAAAATGTTTTATGTATAATTATATTAGGTGTTGGAATTAATTCGTAGCGTTTTTTAATGAAAGAATGTTATTTATTTCACATGAGCATTAAAAAATACATTAATGAAAGTACTTCCCATCACTTGTAAAACGCTACGAATTAATTCCAACACCTAATATATAATTATATAAAATTATACATAATCATATAAAAAATTGACATATTTTATATACAATTGTATATCATTATATATAAAATATGTCCATATATATATATATATATAACATTTTTTCCCGGGAATCGTTGTGCAAATTACAAAAATAAATATGATTATAGCATTCATCTGGACATAGTTTACATAAATTTTATATTACGTACCTCATATATTATACGTATATTTGTTTACAATAAAGTTAATTACAGTATTAACGCGTTGCGTATAATTTGTGTGTAGAATTTTTCAAAAAAAGTTTAATTTTAGGGTAGCTGAAAATTTAATAACATTTGAAATTAATTTGGTTTATTTTTATATTCAATAATTGGAACGGGATCTGATAATTAAATAAAACTTTTAAAATTAATTTAAAATTTTATTCGATTTTTAATCCTTCATTTCCAATTATCAAGTGAGTATATATGAGTATATATGACGTGTTTAATCCTACCTGTCTATACTTATCATCCTACCTATATAGTCCCTACCTATTGTGCATACTTATTGTCCTACCTACCCATATTTTATTCGCGGATACCTATCTCCACCCGTATTCCTACCTACATTACTTCAAATGTGCAATAACACCGCGAATATACAATATAATGTACGTTAATGACTGTGTTCAGAGAAAGTAGATTTTTGATTAATATAAAATTCTTCAATACGATTAGTTCTTGTTTTTGGGATTTAAATATACAAATCAATCACATAGAAGAATTTTACAATAGTTGCAAAATTATTTTCTTTGCTGAACGCAGCTAATGTCTAACCATATATCCTATTGTGTACTAATAAACTCAGTGGGATAACTTAATCGCGATCATACTAATAATAAATAAGCAATAAGCAATAATATAATTAAAACAAGTTCTTTTAATTTTTAAAATACAAAAAAAATTAATAAATAACAGGACTAATAAGAGTCAGTGCGGATAATTAAGTACAAGTTTTGTAGATTTTTTTAATCAACCAAATTTGCTCTTGATTATCCGCGCTGTCTCCCATTAGCCCTGTTGTTTGTTGGGTTCTTTTTGTATTTTAGATAATTCAAAAAATATAAGAACTCGCAATTTGCGAGCAAATTACCCTCCCAAATATTCAGTTTACCTTTTACAAACTTAGATTGGTGTTACACACCAACCTACCTCTCAATAAGCAGAATGTCTAAAATCGATACATAAGATAACTTTAAGATATTTTTAAGAATTCTTTAAGAAACATCTTTAAGATATTTCATAAAGAATTCTGAAAGATATCTTAAAGTTGTCTTATGTGTAGATTTTAGACATTCTGCTCATTGGGCTCGTAGAGATTCTCTTCTTTCTTCTGGCCAGAATGAACTCACATTTCGTTGCTCTTGGCCAAAATTCTGGCTTCATAAGCCAAAAATCGACAACAAGGAGAAATACTCCTTTTTGCTGCCGACTGCTGCCGACTAATATCATCGGCATAAGCGTAAGACTTTACGCTTTTGTATCATGCGCGGAACACGAACGCGTCACGAAAAGGCCATCATATTAATAAAATGGACTAAATATTAATATAAACAATTATCATTAATAATAATAATAATAACAATTCTATTAATATACGAATAAATTTCGTGTTTATTCAAAATCAAAAACATAAATATTTAAGTATAAACCTAAATTTAAAAAAATCTTCAGATCAATAACATTTTTATTTCAAGAGTCTCGAATATTATAAAACTAAATTAAATTGCTGTAAATTTTATAATGTAATCAAAAAGACTTATTCAAAAATAAATGATTGAAAATTACTAAATCGATTATCATCCGATAAAATTCAAGGCCAATGTATGTATTTTTAACGATTCGAACGATTCGTTGCTGAATCTCATCTCAAAACATGCGGAGAT